ACCTTCCAGGGCGGATGGCCATGCTGCAATTCCTTCCCCTCCATCCTCCTCTCGCGGGATCTTGGGCACACATGCACATGCACCCAGTGTGAGTTTAAGCCACTGGGTCCATATCTCGAACTGCGGTCTGCTACATGGGAGTCCAGTGACATAGCCATTACGCCAACTGCTGGTCCCAAAAAAAAATTTAAGAGAAAAATTTTTGCTATAGGGTGTGTGTACTCGTTCGAGAGACAGAGAGAAACAGAGAGACAGAAAGCAAGAAATCACTCCCACAGGCAGGCCATGCCACAATCCCTCCTCCATTCTCCTCTTGGGATTTTGGGCACGCACGCACACGTACTTGGTGTGAGTTTTAAGTTGCCAGGTCTGGGACTCCAACCACATTGGACTATGTAGGACTCCAGTAATGTAACCATTATGCCACTTGCTGGTCCTGGAAAAAATTTAAAAACATTTTTTTTTGCTATAGGGCATGTGCTTTAGCCAGAATCCAGGATAGAGAGGAGAGAAAACACCTCCAGAGAAGAAGGCCACACAATCCCTTTTCCTCCACTCTCCTGGGATTTCGGGCACATGTGTGCATTTCAGGGTGCAGGGTGTAGGACTCAAACTGTGCAGATGGCCTTGTGGTTTACAACCTCCTTAACCATCATGCCACTGGCTGGTCTGAAGAGCTTATGTTCTTCTTAGGAAGCATACCTTTGGCCCATTCCAACTGTATAACTGGCTTGGATTTACCAATTGTAATTTCTCATGATGCCTCCTACTGAATGAGTCTTTAAAAAAAAAAAAAGTTGTCAGTGGGTGCAAGCCCTCCCAGGAGAAAGGGGAGGGGAAAAGTGAGAAAGCGCCCCCTGAAGCATGGACTGCCGCACTCTTCTCTCCCATCTCCCCATCCTTACAGGGTTTGGGGACAGATGGATGGCCCGTACCCAGCATGTTTTCGAAGCCCCTCGGGGCTGGGGCTCTGGGACTCAGTGGGTGCTGTTAGCCACACGGAGTGAGCCACGTTAACCACTGGGATTGGGCTGGCCCATCTTTTCCTCTCATCTCACATATCTCTCCCACTTAGATTTCTAAGGATCTGTACTTCGGCATACTGAGAAAAATGCAGGACTGTGTGCAGTTCCAGGAATCTCAGGCACGCTTCCATCCTAGCTTTTGTTACAGAGTAGAAAAGAGGCCTGAGAATGTTAAACTATGCACACTTTGAGGGTAGGAATCTTACCTTGTCAAAAATCTTTCTACGGCTTTCCATCCACTATCCTTAAGATAATTCAGTCCTTAAGAGCACTTCATGGTCTGGTCCCATCTCTGGCTTTACCTTAGTAAATCCTCTAGCTGGTGATTTCGGCACATGTTAAGGACCTCCAACATGCCAGAGCCGCGATCCCGTCTCCTCCTGGGATCTTGGGCATGCACATACGTGTGTCTGGCATGATCCTGAAGCAGCCAGGTCTGGCGCTCACTGTGGTTGGCCAAGTGGAAGTTCAGTGCCTCAACCACCACCCCACCCGCTGTGACCGAACAGCTTTTGCACAGGCTGTTCCATCTGCCTGATATTTCTTGCTCCATTCTGCTCAGTTCTTAAATCAGGTTTAGATTCTACCTCCTTTGACAACCTCTCTCGACTTTCCCTCAAGTCCAGGTTAGCCCTTCAAGCATACCTCTCACTTTAGCCTAGCACTCCCCACGCTGGAATACTGCATGACCAGTCGTCTGTCTCACCATGCCAGGCTGTGTGGAGCAGGTGACAGTCTCATTCATGGATATTTCTATTACTGAGATGGTGCCCGGAATTTGGGAGGTGCACAATAAACAGTTGAATTACAGAGAAGCTGCTCACAGCAAATGCCCGGGACACACACCGCCACAACAGGTCTCTGCTAGTAGACAAGGTGTTTGGGTGGATGAGGACAAGAAACAAGCCTGGTGGACATGTGGTCATTACAAGGAGGAGTCTGCTGGTATTTTTTTTTTTTTTTTAAAGAATTAGCGCCCTTGGGGCCAGCAGGTGATGTGGCGGTTAAGGCAGCTGGACTTCCACATGGCTGACATGTTCGAGTCCCGGACCTGGCAGCTTGCTTTCTCTTTCCTTCTCTCTCTCTCTGGTCAATTTCAAAAACAAATAAATAAAGACAATAAATAAAATAATTCTTTTAAAAAAGAAAAAAGAATTAGTGCCCTTAACCACCATGCCACCTACCAGCTCCTACTTTTTAGTTTTCTTTTTAAGAGAGATTTTTTGCTATGGGATGTGTGTGCTCGTTAGAGACAGACAGAAAGGGAGAAATCAAGCTGTGGGGTGATGGCCACGCCACAGTCCCTTCTCCACCATTCTCGTCTCGGGATCTTGGGCATGCACACACACACACGTGCCTGGCTTGAGTTTTAAGTTGCTGAGTCCAGGACTCGAACCGTGGTTGACTTGAGTCCACGACGTAACCATTACACCATCTGTTGGTCCCAAGCCTGCTATTTTAACCTGAAACGATTCCTTACATGCACTATTAGTCACAGGGGAGACCAAGGTGTGCTATTTGGCAAAGGAGGAGGAAGTAGCAGTGAAGTGAATAGTAAATATTTATTTTGAGGACTTTCTGGTGTGAACATGTGGTTAAAAAAAAAAATCACATTACAGGCCAGCCTATGGTGTGGTGATTATAGCGGCTTGATCCTACACAGCTGACTATGTGGTTAAGCCCTGGACCAGGTGGCTCAGAAACATGCTGGGGGGTGTGCACACATGCCCAAAACCCTGAGAGGAGAATGGAGAAAAGACTGAGGCGTGGCCATCCCCTGGGGGATGCTTTCTCACTCTGCCTCCCCCTCCCTCTGGCAAGTGCTTTAGCCCTGTGACAAAAAAACCAAACGGCATTAGTTATCACAAACCACCAGTGAGGCCGTAGGTTCTAACTAGTGCTAGCTGATTTCATACCTGTTTTTTTCTGTTTTTCTGGTTAATTTTCTATTCAAGCACTCTGCAGAGGAACTCAAATAGCTCACCATTATCAAAATAGTATCTTTGCGATCTTAAACTATGTGTGTTTTCAAGTTACTGAATCCCTTTTCAAAGGAGGTAGTTTCAGTTTTGATCATCTGTGTTTACTTCAGGAGCAGGAAGTTAGGCATTACTTCAAATTTCAGAAGAGTAGCAGTCTTCATGGAGACGCAGCAGTGTTTTAAATGCAGTGGGTAAATTTGGGATTGACTGGATAAAGGTACACTATTAAACAATGTGAACCATGGTTTGTTTCGTTTTGAAAGACATTTTTGCTATAGCATGTGTGTGCTCACCAGAGACACAAAGTGAGACTCCCCACCCCCCCCAGGAATTGCTATGCAGCAATTTCTTCTCCTCCATTCTCCTCTTGGGATTTTGGGCATGCACGCATATGTGCCTGGTGTGTTTGAAGCTGCTGGATCTGGGACTAGAGACGGTCAACTACGTGGGAGTCCAGTGACATAGTAACCATTACGTCACCTGCCGGTCCCTAACCATGCTTTTATAACAAATATGTAGTCGTCTTTTAGTTGTCAGCTGGCACTCCATGTTTTGCTATAATGGTTTTAAAAATGTACCACCTGGGACCAGCAAATGGTGTAATGGTTATGTCGCTGGACTCCCACATAGTCAACTGTGGTTTGAGTTCTGGACGTGGCAGTTTAAAAATCATGCCTATGAGCCCAAAATCATGAGAATGGAGAAGGGATTGCGATGTGGCCATTCCCCCTGGGGGGTGATTTCTTGCTATCTGTGTCTCTCTGGCAAGCACATGTGCCCTATAGCAAAATCTCTAAAAAACAAAACAAACAAAAAACTATACCACTGGGGTCAGCAGGTGGCATAATGGTTAAGGCACTGGACTCCTGTGTGACCAACTATGATTCAAGTCCCAGACCTGGCAGCTTGAAACTTACGCCAGGTGTATGTGCAAGTGCCCCAAATCCTAGGTGAGTAGAGAAGGGATTATGGTGCAGTCATCCCCGCTGGAA